TTTTTTTGTTAGGGCAATGGGAAAATGCACATAATATGAGAAAAAATAGTGATGTAAATTGTGCCTTGATAGGGATAAGAGTACCTAATAATTTTGGAATTTGATTTAAAAATAAATAATATATTTAAACATCATCCAAGTAGCAAAGAAAAAAAAAGGCAAAAAACCCCCCACCAACCAAATAAAATACCTTCAAAAATAGTTAATTGGATGTTTTAACATTTAAAAAATATTTGTGTTAATTGGGCATCCCTGCATGGGTTTCTGCGATGGGATTCTGAGTGCGAAGAAGAAAACTTTACAGGGAGCCCTTCATCTGGAGAATAAGTAAATCTTGTCTTTGCATTGTCTTTGGGCAGTTCAACAGCCTGGAGCAGCTGTGCATCAATTTCACCAATGAGAAACTGCAACAGTTCTTCAACCACCACATGTTTGTGCTGGAGCAGGAGGAGTACAAGAAGGAGGGAATTGAGTGGGAGTTCATTGACTTTGGGATGGACCTCGCTGCCTGCATTGAGCTCATTGAGAAGGTGTGTTGATTACATTTAAGATTTAGTTACCTTCTTTGTGACAGAATTTCAGGATTTTTCTTTAGCCTTACTTTTTCTTGCTCTAATGCTTCACAAACCTATCTCTTATTATCCATTTATGTTTCTGGTTCTTTCTATTTGAAGTGCCTTTTTATTTCAAATATTGCATGTATTCTGAAAGGAAGTTCTAAGCACCTTTGTGATTAGCCTACAAATGAAGTACCTTTAAGTTATCCATTAACTGCACTGCTATGCATTTTAAAAAAGCTAACTGTAATTTTTCTTGTATGGTAATAGAAATATTAATGTAATCACACATAATTGGATGACAAGGATTCTCCGTAGGTTTGCTTTCTAGACTACAAAGATGAAAGATCTCGTTTGAGGAATCTAGACACAATTTTAATATTATGATTTCCATATTAATACTATGATTTCTGAAACATAATTTCTAAGAAAAATAATAGATGCATATAGGAAAAAAGTACTGATTTAACAGGGATCAATAAAAACATCACTATAAGCAGACACTGTTTTTGTGCAACATCCTCTTGTATAGGAACAGAAAGACAGATATATTTTCAGAAAAAAAAAGAGTAGGACGTAGCTGAAAGATCTGTTAATCTGTGGCAATAAGGTCAATTTTAGTAAGACACCTTTGACTATACAGATCACTTTGTAAAAATGTTAATGTAAAAAAAAAATCATCAGTTTCAAAATTACTCAGAAAATGGTGTTTGATTATTTTGACACTACCAGTCACGAAATGGATTAGTCAGACACAAATTCACATTTTGTCTGGAACCAAGAGTGCAAAAGTTGACAAAGATTTGACCCATGTTTTATCCGAAAATTCCACTAATTTCTCAGTTTCCTGTGTCTCCCTGCAGTCCCCTTCTGAAGGCAGATCCGTATTTTATCACTGTTATTTTTTGCTGCTTCCCCCAGCCTATGGGCATCTTCTCCATCCTGGAAGAGGAGTGCATGTTCCCCAAGGCAACTGACACCTCTTTCAAGAACAAGCTCTATGACCAGCACCTGGGCAAGTCCAACAACTTCCAGAAGCCCAAACCTGGCAAAGGCAAGGCTGAGGCCCACTTCTCCCTGGTGCACTACGCTGGCACAGTGGACTACAACATCACTGGGTGGCTGGAGAAGAACAAGGACCCCCTGAATGAAACTGTCATTGGGCTGTACCAGAAATCATCTGTCAAGACTCTGGCCTTACTATTCGCCTCTGCTGGGGGAGAGGCAGGTCAGTTCCCTGAAACGTCATCTCTTTGATGCACAGTAAGTAACTGATTCCCAAAGCAACAGATTTTATCTTCATTATCTTCATTTTATCAGAGGCCAGTAGTGGTGGTGGTGGCGGTGGCAAGAAAGGTGCCAAGAAGAAGGGTTCTTCTTTCCAGACTGTCTCAGCTCTTTTCCGGGTATGGAAAAAATTCTTTTCATTTATGCAAAGAATTATTCTGCATTTTTAACTGGTTCAGACACGGTAAAAAACAAAAAAACACAACCAATTGACCAATCAAAAGAGATTCCAAACACATATGACTTCTCATTAGACCATCATTAAAAATAAAAATAAAAATATTATGGAATTAAAAATGGTTGTGTAAAGACCTAAACTTGCGCTCACTGCAAACGTAAATTTTCTCATAAAAAGTGCCCACTTTCTATCCTTCATTGGATTGATACTTATCCTACAAGATGATGTTTAATGTTCAGAATTAGAGGAGACTGAGCTATTGATAGAGGTATTCTCAGCCGACAACTTTCAGCCTCTCCATTGATGTGCCTTTCATGCTAAGTTCAAACAACAAGAAGGGTCATTTTTTCCACGTTTCTTACACATACTCACTAAGTGATGAACCCACAGGAGAACCTGAACAAGCTGATGACCAATCTGCGGAGCACTCACCCCCATTTTGTGCGCTGTATCATCCCCAATGAGACCAAAACACCCGGTAAGATGCTCAAGTAGGAAGAGGATTTGCTCTGACATCCATTCCCCTCCGCACTGGAATCTGTGCCACTCCTTTGTGCTCTGCTCTGCCTTGCTCAGGTGCCATGGAGCACGAGTTGGTGCTGCACCAGCTGCGCTGTAACGGCGTGTTAGAAGGGATCAGGATCTGCAGGAAAGGGTTCCCCAGCAGAGTCCTCTATGCTGACTTCAAACAGAGGTAAGAGCTATCAAATTAAGAGTGTCAGGTGTCCTCACCGACCACTGTCCGTCACGCAACTGAGCTTTGCCAGGGTCTCTGAGTACGGAAGCACAGTAGAGCGACACAAGTCACTGATTACAAGATTAAAACCAGCAGTTTGGGATGTGGTTGCAATATGTTCTCAGGTAAAAATTACAAACTCTCTCAGAGTTCTTTGGTCATTGTATCAGCTGCAAGTTTCAGGGGACAAGGCTTTCCGCCTATACACATAGTGGCAATGTTCCTCTGCAGCAATTTTCTACAGCACAGTTTAAGTAAAAAAGATATGGATTGAAGTGACTGGAGATCAGTGCCCTCTTTTCATCTGTGACTGGAAAAGTTTCCTTGATTTTGTTATCCTCATGATAAGGGTATCTCTAAACAAGGGACGAAATTCCAACTTCCTCAGCCTGATTCTGCTGCAACACTGATGTTGGTTTCAATAAACATTATAACCTTACGACTTGACATTGCCTTCTTTCACATTTCCTCTAATTCCACAGATACAAGGTGCTTAATGCCAGTGCCATCCCAGAGGGACAGTTCATCGACAGCAAGAAGGCTTCCGAGAAGCTCCTTGGCTCAATCGATGTGGACCACACCCAGTACAAATTTGGACACACCAAGGTACAAACCCCCCATTCCCTCACTCACTCCGTACCTGTGCTTTGCCCGGCTTGACAGTGATGTGCTGCAACATTCCCTCTCTAAGGTGTTCTTCAAAGCTGGGCTGCTGGGGCTCCTGGAGGAGATGAGGGATGAGAAGCTGGCACAGCTCATCACTCGCACACAGGCCTTGTGCAGAGGTTTCCTGATGAGGGTGGAGTACCAGAGAATGGTGGAGAGAAGGTACACAATCCTTGTCTTCAAACTCACTGTGGTTGGAGGAAAGTGTTGACACTTTTCAAACTGAAAATATTAATTGTACATTTGAATTATGCTCCAGAGAGTCCATCTTCTGCATCCAGTATAATGTTCGTTCATTCATGAATGTCAAACACTGGCCCTGGATGAAGCTGTTCTTCAAGATCAAGCCCTTGCTGAAGAGTGCAGAGTCTGAGAAGGAGATGGCCAACATGAAGGGAGAGTTTGAGAAAACCAAGGAAGAGCTTGCAAAGTCTGAGGCAAAGCGGAAGGAACTGGAGGAGAAAATGGTTTCTTTACTGAAGGAGAAAAACGACCTGCAGCTCCAAGTGCAGGCTGTGAGTATCACCATTTATTTTCCACTCGAAAAAAGGCTTATCTTTCACAGATAGGTGGTCAGACAGGTCTTTTATGAACAGATGTTCATCATCATCACGGCTAGGCTTCGTGAATGAAGATTTAGGATGGCTCTACCCACATTTGTTACAAGCGCGCTGGTTGTTAAAAAGGCCAATACAAGATAGACAGGTCCGGTTGCAAAAGGCACAGCAGAAGGACTCTTTAGGTGGTAAATTCTGCAAGAAACAGTTCTTTCTGCATTGTCTTTTCTCCTCAAGAGAGATCCTGCGTGCATTCTCAAAGGAAGTAGCAGCGTTACAGATGGTGTGTCTCTAGACCTCCCGATTGGAGGCCAGAGTAGACCAGTTATGTTGATCAATATGGCCAAGGCTGAGATGTTGTTTCAGGGAGTCCTTGTATCTCCTCTTCAGGGCTTCTCTCTTGCAGCAGCCAGTGGCAAGTGGGGGGCTGAGGGGTCTCGGTCGGGCTGGGGCCTTGGGAGGTACCTGAGCCCCAGGTGGGTGCAGGGGCCAGAACAGTTTGGTTTTGGTTTTGGCTCACCTGCAGCTACTGCCCAGGTTCAGTATGTTTTGGATATATTTATTACATCCTGAAAGGGTGATCAGGACAAAGGGATGTTCCTGGGTATTTCCCTGGGAATAAGTATAGATGAGCAGCAGAAAAGAAGGGAGTGAAAGGTTTGTCCTAACTGTTTTAATGAACAGATGTTAGTTATTTGTTAAATTATGGATCATATTGAACATAAGGTGGGAGAAACTAGTGTCTTACAATAGCATGGTGAACTCAGCTAGTAGAAGAAGTAAGGAGCTACAAGTGGGAGTAGGGCTCCTGCTTTCTGGGATAGACACATCTATAAATAGCCAAGATTAAATACTCAGGACAAGATTGTACCTGAACCCCCCAGCTCCATTTGAGCAGGTGAGCTCTGCAGGAAGTAGCTCTATCTCACCAGGGCGAATTGACTTCAGACAGTAAGTCCTAGAATTCAAATTGGTGGTTGTAAATTCAGCCACTTAATAACAAATGGATAATTGCTCACCCAGGATATGGGAAATATGGCTTGAAATTTCTCCTCAGTCTAAAAAGGAATTAAGCCAGAGCTCCTGCTTCTGAACTATAGTCTCACATCCCAGGCTTGTGCTGTTCAAGGTATTGGACTATGTTTCCCTTGGAAAATGAAAAGAAACAGGTAGATACACCCTGCTGCAGGCTGACATTGAACCTTTCTCCGCTGTACGAGTCCTATTCATCATGCTTTAATCCATAACCCTTTCATGTAAAACCTGTATACAAAATTTGAAGAACATATGTATTTATAATAATATTAACCCATCATCTCTGGGTAGGCAATTCATAACTATGTATTATTCAGACATAATTTAATACAATGCAGAATAACAAAGTAAATGAGTAATCGAGCAAAATATTTAATTTCTGAGTACTGCAACGATTTGCACCTGCAAGCTGGATTTTTTACATATGCCATAAGTGGTAGATTTATTATTAACGATACCCCATGTACCCTGCAGGCACATATAAAAAAATTAAAAACACCTTCCAGAAAGGAAATTCACTGATTGGTATGTATGAAGCAAAAAGCTTGCAAATCCATTTCATTGGAAAATCAGTGACAGAGACGATCACTTTTGTGATGCCTTTAAGTGCATGAGATATTCTCACAATTGTAAATTATGACAAATAATTTTGAAAGAAAAAAATTGAAGGCTTCCAAACAGAGAATTTGCAGATCCATTTCCCAGACAGAAAACCTGAAAACATTAAGCTGTTGGATTGGAAAGGCTATTTCAGACATGGTTTTTATATCTATCAATTTAGTAAGATAAAAGATACAGAAGAGGAACTTCAAAACATGATAAACATCTACAATCTGTGTCTCCCCACCAGGAAGCAGATAGCCTGGCTGATGCTGAGGAAAGGTGTGACCAGCTCATCAAAACCAAAATCCAGCTGGAAGCCAAAGTTAAAGAAGTGACTGAAAGGGCTGAGGATGAGGAGGAAATCAATGCTGAGCTGACAGCCAAGAAGAGAAAACTGGAGGATGAATGTTCAGAGCTGAAGAAAGATATTGATGACCTTGAGCTAACACTGGCCAAGGTGGAGAAGGAAAAGCACGCAACTGAAAACAAGGTACGAGGCAGAAAATCTCACCCACACGCCAGAAAAGAGTCCCGTGCTCTTCCAGGACTTCTGTATCTACTTCCTTGACTTACGCTTGCTTCCTTCTTCCTAAAGGTGAAAAACCTCACAGAGGAGATGGCAGCCCTGGACGAGACCATCGCCAAGCTGACAAAAGAGAAGAAAGCCCTCCAAGAGGCCCATCAGCAGACCCTGGATGACCTGCAGGCAGAGGAGGACAAAGTCAATACACTGACCAAAGCCAAGACCAAGCTGGAGCAGCAAGTGGACGATGTAAGCCCACGGACACACAGCAGGAACAGACAGGTATGGAGTTTGAGCTGGCTGGTGGAGCACTGATGGCCTTGTTCTGTGTAGCTGGAAGGGTCCCTGGAGCAAGAGAAGAAACTGCGCATGGATCTGGAGAGAGCCAAGAGGAAACTGGAAGGAGACCTGAAGCTGGCCCAGGACAGCATCATGGATCTGGAGAATGATAAGCAGCAGCTGGATGAGAAACTGAAGAAGTAAGTGTGGCCCTGGGGCACCTCAGTGCTGGGCTGCAGCTCTTGTCTTTTTCCTTTGAGCTGTAATCCACTTTGCTTTGCCCAAAGGAAAGACTTTGAAATCAGCCAGATTCAGAGCAAAACCGAGGATGAACAAGCCCTGGGCATGCAACTACAGAAGAAGATCAAGGAGCTGCAGGCAAGTGTCTACCCTTCCCCTGCCTACCCCAGGCTCGGCTCAGGGAGGAGGAGGGCACGGGTGTGAAGGGTCCCTCGTGTTCTCCAGGCCCGTATTGAGGAACTGGAGGAGGAAATCGAGGCCGAGCGAACCTCTCGCGCTAAAGCAGAGAAGCATCGGGCTGACCTGTCCAGGGAGCTGGAGGAGATCAGCGAGCGCCTGGAAGAAGCAGGAGGGGCGACGGCAGCTCAGGTGGAGATGAACAAGAAGCGGGAGGCAGAATTCCAGAAGATGCGCCGGGACCTCGAAGAGGCCACGCTGCAGCACGAAGCCACGGCTGCCGCCCTGCGCAAGAAGCACGCGGACAGCACAGCTGAGCTGGGGGAGCAGATCGACAACCTGCAGCGCGTCAAGCAGAAGCTGGAGAAGGAGAAGAGTGAGCTCAAGATGGAGATTGATGACTTGGCCAGTAACATGGAGTCTGTCTCCAAAGCCAAGGTATGGAAAAATGGACTGTAAACCACTTGAAAATTAATTCCATTGAAATACATCCTTTCAAATTACAGCCTGGTTACCATCTAACTCCCTGTCTCTCTATGGAGCTGTGTTTCTTACCTTCTAACATCAAGCAACAGTCCAGACCGTGCAAGTCTGTTCATGTTTTTCTGCTTAGAGTCCCGCTCTTCTGAATAAGAAGGCGTCTAGATCCTAATCTTCTTTCATTCTCTGTGACCTCGACAGGCAAATCTGGAGAAGATGTGCCGCACCCTGGAAGACCAGCTGAGTGAGATTAAGACAAAGGAAGAAGAGCATCAGCGCATGATCAATGACCTCAATGCTCAAAGAGCTCGTCTGCAGACAGAGTCAGGTGAGAAATAAACATCTGCATTTGCAGATCAATAATCTCAGAGAGTTATTGCAAAAATTACTCTTCTGGCCACGTGTTCTTTCCAACATTCTGTGTCTCCCCTCTAATAAGAAATGCTTGAAATGGGATCATAAGTTTCAGCAAGGACTGCTAACAGTTTGGTTTTACAGCCCCAAATGTCCACAGTAGCGTCATCAGTGGCAATAAAAGTTTTGCGTATCCGCAACCTTTCCCAGGTGAATATTCACGCCAGGTGGAGGAGAAGGATGCTCTGGTTTCTCAGCTGTCAAGAGGCAAACAGGCTTTCACCCAACAGATTGAGGAACTCAAGAGACACCTAGAGGAAGAGATAAAGGTGAGAGGGATTTCCATACTTTGTTCTGTCCATCAGATCCCTCCTCTCTAAGAGGTACTTCAGATACTTACATGACTACTGAGCTATCATGATGAGACAGGGAAAAAAAAACATTTAGGTAATTTAGTGCTTCTCTTCTCACGTTAGCTTCTCCCTAGAATTTATCCATTATTCTCTTTGTCAGTCCCCACTGTCATTTTGCATAGAAGAATAATACAGTGTCCCATTAATATTCAGTCAGATTTCCCAGGATATTTCTGGTCTGTGACTCAATACTCTTGTTGCTGCAGGCCAAGAACGCCCTGGCCCACGCCCTGCAGTCCGCTCGCCACGACTGTGACTTGCTCCGGGAACAATATGAGGAGGAGCAGGAAGCCAAGGGGGAGCTGCAGCGCGCCCTGTCCAAGGCCAACAGCGAAGTGGCCCAGTGGAGAACCAAATACGAGACGGACGCGATTCAGCGCACGGAGGAGCTCGAGGAGGCCAAGTACGTGGGCAGGGTGGGGAAGGCTGGCAGAGACTAAAACCAGAAAATTGAGGAGACCACTGTGATATCCAGGAAGAAGTCAGTCTCCTGGTTTGGGGTTGGGTAAAAGGAGAGTAGCAAATAAATTCTGTAATGCACGTGGTTTGGAAAAAAAATTCACAGGCAAACATTTAGGAGGCAGGAAATGACAGAGAGAAACAATCTAGTATGTAGACAAATAGAAAAGGAACGTGGACCACAGACTTTGAAGTGGCTAACCACACTGTTGAGAAAAACACCACAGAACTGAATTTCTCCTTGACTGATGACTGTGAGCTCTAGTTACGATTGAAGTGGTAAAACATCTTGTTCTGAAAAGCCCATCAACCACACACAACAACCTCTCCTTTGCTCTCATACAACTAAATGTGCTTAACACAGGAAGAAGCTGGCACAGCGCCTGCAGGATGCAGAGGAACACGTTGAAGCTGTCAATGCCAAATGTGCCTCCCTGGAAAAGACAAAGCAGAGGCTGCAGAATGAAGTGGAGGACTTGATGATTGATGTGGAGCGATCCAATGCTGCCTGCGCTGCTCTGGACAAGAAGCAGAAGAACTTTGACAAGGTCTTTTGGGCTCCAGCCCTGGGACTCCTGGGCAGAGCCTCCCCCCAGGATGGCCACATCCCTACTCACGCCCCGTTTCTCTTCAGATCCTGGCAGAATGGAAGCAGAAGTATGAGGAAACGCAGGCTGAGCTGGAGGCCTCCCAGAAGGAGTCTCGCTCCCTCAGCACGGAGCTGTTTAAGATGAAGAATGCCTATGAGGAGTCCTTGGACCACCTGGAAACAATGAAGCGGGAGAACAAGAACTTGCAGCGTAAGTCCCTGGCCCTCTGCTCCGGGATGGGCTTTCTCACCACCTGAGCATTGCTGCGGGGTCTGTGCCTGCAGCTCTGCAAAGATGCCTGTCACCCTGGTGGGACAGGGCCCTTCCCATTCTGCTCTGGGCCTGAGCAAGCCATTGTTCCCACAGAGGAGATTTCTGACCTCACGGAGCAGATTGCGGAGGGAGGAAAGGCAATTCATGAGCTGGAGAAAGTCAAGAAGCAAATTGAGCAGGAGAAATCTGAACTGCAAGCCTCTCTGGAGGAAGCTGAGGTACCTGGCCAGAATCATTGCTGTCTGCACTAAATGTGTGAGCAAGGCAGAAACAATGCTAAAAAGGCCTTGCTTCTGCTGTGTTCTGGCTGCGGAGGGCAGCCAGCTGAGATTTCCTGGAATATTCTCTAATTCCCTAGAAAGCAAGCAGTAGGTTTATCAGTGTTCCCCACATTTGTGTCCACTTGTCCAGGCCTCTCTGGAACATGAAGAGGGGAAGATCCTGCGCCTGCAGCTGGAGCTCAACCAGGTGAAGTCTGAGATTGACAGGAAGATAGCAGAGAAAGATGAGGAGATTGACCAGCTGAAGAGGAACCACCTCCGAGTTGTGGAGTCCATGCAAAGCACCCTGGATGCTGAGATCAGGAGCAGGAATGAAGCCCTGAGGCTGAAGAAGAAGATGGAGGGAGACCTGAATGAAATGGAGATCCAGCTCAGCCATGCCAATCGACAGGCTGCTGAGGCACAAAAGAACCTGAGAAACACACAGGCTGTGCTCAAGGTACAGCCCAACAAATCAGGTTCTCACTGGTTTCTGACACAGCTGAATATCAACGATGAAGGAATGGGACTGCACAAACACATCACTCGGTTTTCAGGATTCTCCACAGACTTCTGTGGTCCCCTTTTATTAACCT